GCTGCTGTAGACGTGCCGTGATGATTGAATTTATACTTGCTTCTTTTTAAGCCTGAGACTCATTTCCTAAATACCACAAGGATTATTATTCATTTAATTGTACAGAATCAGGTACCCTTATATCTCAATTCATGCCTAGGTCAATTACAGTGATATGTCACCCCTTAACCAGAATCAATATGATAAATTAAAATGTTTTAACTTCAGTAAGCTGCATGACAGTGTTTTCAAGTTTTTTTTAGAATATAAACAGTTACTGTGTCAGAACAGACATTTATCATTTTCCTTAACTAAATGACAGAAATCAAGCACTGTAGCACGTCCTAAGTACATGTACTGATTTGACATTCATGATGCGAGATACTTGATTTAGTGATAGATTCCTACCTTTGACTCTAACTTTGATGAAAATAAGAAGAGTTTTGACACAGTAGCTACTTGGTGTGTTCTCTTGTCGGCCTCACCTGCACATCTTCATTGTTACTTCTTGTCAAAAATTTCATTATCTATCTGAGGGTGCAGATGTCAAGTTGCTATGACAACTTCCTTCTTCCACTTTTTTTAGTTGTGCCGAGTGGTTGTGTCTGATAATGAAATCAAGGTAATGAAATTTTCTGACATTTTCACCTCTTTTCTAATTCATGAATCCACCGCTAATGAAAAAAGTCACAAAAAACGCCAACATAGACCAGTTAAAATATTTTCATTTTACAGATACAAAAATGCATGATTAACTTGGGTTATGATTGTGAATTTTTATGTAGTTTAAGGGAAATAGCTTGAAGGTAAATAAAGCAGATTGATTTGTGTGACAATTGCTCTTGTATAGAGAAACAATAAACAGCTAATATACCATTTTGTAAATCATATATTAATACTGGTATATATGTATGTAGTACATGTATTTGTTTATAGAACTTCATAGTCTGTTTGTATCAATGCATTCATAAATTAAAGATCCAGAGTTTTAAAGAGCTAAATGAATAATACAACCAAAACAATTCTAAAAAAGATCAACAATACACATTTAGATTGTTGATTTTAACATTCCCTCTTTTGATTGAGTCAGACATGTATTATCAATTTTCATCTTTAAAATGTAAAAGGGTCTAAAAATAAACAGTTTATTTAAACTAGATGCATCAAAACTAAAAGCCTACATTTTTATAAAGCATGAGATTATTGTTAAGAATTGTACTTATGTTCTTCAGACTTATAGAGAAATGATGAAAGTAAGTCAGCTGATTCCTTAGTCATGTGACTGCAGTCACATGAGTCTGCCATGTGTGCCTAATGTCAACCGATTTTATTCTCACCCAGTTACCAATGAAAACAAAAAAAAGTAGCATGAGTAACAAATCAAATGCATGCATGGTAGATAAATTAATGCTTTTTCCAAACATGGGACATACAAATTTAGCTGGGTTACTTGTGATTTTTACCCAGGAATGGGTTACTTTTGTTTAATACTGAAACCGATTTGAAAAAACTCGGTTTAGAACCAAACATTTTCTCCAGGGAGCTTAAGGAAATTGGAATATTTTCACTTAAGGACACAATCTTTCTTAACATCAGACATCTTAATTCACTCTATGGCTTGGGTGCTTCTTAAAGTGTGGCAAAGCTGCAATTCTAAAACTTTTCCACTTCTTTTTTATGATATAAGCACACAGTATATTTAAATATCTTAAGCTTTTTACTAAACTTTCATTGTAAATATTTGAAGGTACTCTATATTCTGATAAAAGGAAAAAAACTAATTTTTCATTTGTCTAGTATACAACATACACATTTTATTGCAGACCCATATAATGGTTGCCAGTTTGTGTTTTGTGTTTATATTTATTTGTAGCTTTGTGTTCTGTAATCAGAAGGAATCATTGATTTTGCCTAATGGCATGCCAGCTTTTTGGTTGGTGTAATATGTATATTTACAGCATGCTTCAAGGTTGAGAAAATGTTGTTGTCCTCCCTTAAATGTACATAGTAAACATTTAAAACTGTGTGTATTTGAGAAAAAATAATTTGTCCAGTGTAATATGTTTTATTCATATCTGATTTGATTCAGATATTATGATTTTAAAATTATTGCTTGGTCCTTTTTTTTTCAAAAAAACAAATAATCCTGATATCGCAAGCTCAACAATATTTGGCAGCAATGAGTAGTTATTTCTTTATTTTTATTCTTTGATTAAAAGAAATGAAGTCTGTAAAATGCAAGTAAGTGTGACTTTGAAAAACTGGTAATGAACATACAAAAATTTATTGTTTTCAAATACAGCCATTTCCTTTTCAGAATGCATATAATGAGCCAATCTGACAATTTTTTGTTGGCTTTCCTTTTTCAGATGAATGGTGTGACCAATGGGAGTGACCCTGGCCTTGCCCTACAAGGTTTGACTGTCCAGGGCAGCAATAACAACCCCGACAACAGACCCGTGGAGGATCCAGCACAAAAGAGGGGCAGGGTAGATTCTTTCTCACTCTCATATCATTAAATTTGGTGTCATTCTCAATGTTTCACTGCTCACAATGAAAGATTTTTTTTTAATTATGATTTTTTAACAGAAAAAATAGAGGAAAAATGGTAAAAATCAAGTTAAGGTTCTTTAGTATACCATGAAGGGGAAACTTTAGAAAATAACTCTTTTAGCAGAGCTGATGCAGTTGTATAGTTTTCTGATGTAGTTATTGTTGTATTGTAGCCAGGACAGATAATAGACATCAGGTCTATGATTAATGAAGCCACAAAACTGAATGCAGAAGAGGGGATAGATGGTCAGGTCAGTACTTACACAGATTGCAATGAGATGTATTTCACTATCATCGTCAAAGTGATAGAATACATTAAAGAGACTGTATTCTTTGGCCTCAAGTTTTTCTAATACATATTTACCATTTGAAGTGGGAAGTGACTTTACAATATTTGTTGTGAGTATTTTATTTTCTAGGATCGTCTTTTGAAGCCTCTTGGAGGCTACGTTGGTTATAACAGTGAATGGAGGGAATTAGCTCAAGTCATAAGTAGGGTAGGTCACAGCTTAATCATACACTGAAAGATCAATTCATATGGTTTGTACTTTTCCTGAATGTTTCAACCAAGATAAAAGCTTGAAAATATGTTTTTATGTGTTTCATTTCTAACATTTATTCATTTAACCCTTTGTATTATGCAGGATATTTATTCAGAAAATCCCAATGTAAAGTGGGATGATATCATTGGTTTAGAAGAAGCTAAACGATTGGCTAAGGAGGCTGTAGTTTATCCAATTAAAGTGAGACATCATTTTACACACATGAATTATGATAAATTTCTGTTTTATCTCCTTTTCTGGATAGAAAATTGAACAACTTGTAGTTTTATCCTCTTATTTATTTCAGTATCCCCAGCTGTTTAAAGGTATTCTCTCCCCCTGGAAGGGGCTGCTGTTATATGGTCCTCCTGGTAGGTATTTTTTATATGCTCTCCTTAAAAAAAAGATGAGCTTCATTTGTATGACATTTAATATTATTATCCCTACAAATGGAAATTTGAGAGTATAAATAGGAATTCCTTATCCATCTATTTAATCTTGCCCATAACTCGGTAACAGAAGAACCTTGGAAGGACATACTTTAGATTGCTTAAGGAGGAACAGGACCTTTAGCTGAAAAAATTCCTGTCAATGATTTTTTTTCGTATTTTTTATATTACTAATTGAATATGTACTTAACATTTTAAAATGGTCCTGTCATGGGATTTCTTGACTTATTTAAAAGATATCGCCCCATAAATACCGCCCTGTTTAGAATTTGCATGGAGTTTAGATACTTCATGTTTACGGGCCCATAACGAAGTCCATAATGTGAATTTTTACGCACAAACGATAAATATGATAGATAACACTATATACTCAATATTTCATAATATTCATAGTGTTTAAATTATCTGAAAGCAATTGTTTTAATTTTATATCGTATTTGGGTGGATAATTTCTGCATTTTTCAAGGCAGCTTCAACGACAAAAACCTCATTTGGAAAAAAATCTGCCAATAAATATTTCTAAATTTACGATTGAATGTCAGTCCTTAATCATAATTATTTACTGCATAAATATCACAGGGTGAAGCTTACCTCAATATCGCACAGGACATCATTGAATTAGACGTAAGCATGATAAAAACGCTTTACGTTTGTATTTTCCGAGTGCGGGAAATCAATTGTGACGTCACACGAAAATATAAACATTCAAAATTATCTAAATAGAGAGAATCCCTGCTACTAAACAAGAAAAAATATTAATTTTAAAAAATCTGCTTCAGAAATTTATCACGATACATTTACTGTGACCTGTTTATTATGAAATAAAAGTGATCATGACGGGTGTGTTATAGCTGCAATAATGTAGCCCTCTCCTTTTTTTTTTTTTTTTTTTTACATCAGATTAAAAAAAATCGGAGAGGGCTACATTATTGCAGCTAGGTGTGTTATTGATCTCGCTGCACTGAAAATTCAAACACTACGTCTAAGACGTCACTGACGTCAGACTGCAGGGTAAAGAGAAACAAATGTTTGGATTGGGCAACTTCACAATATCTAAACGATGGCAAGATCTTTAAAAATTTTATTAATAATAATTTCTGAAATTGAATGTTTAAAAAAACAATTTTAGAATTAAGAATAAAATTTCACAAGAACTGTTGATTTTAACAACGTTTAACATGTATACCATCACCGATTATGACATGATATGTCTCTTTAGTCATGTGACATGTGTCCTGTCTCCCCTTAAGTCTTAATAATTTGTCCTGACCTTGACCCAGGTCAAGTTCAGTGTCACTGACAAACATTGGAAGGTCATATCAGAATGAAAGATTGCTTATGTGTGATGCTATTGCATATGATCTGAGGGTATGTCTTTTTACCAATTCAAAGAACACTTGCAGGAGTTTTCAAATTATGTCCATTTCTTAATTTTTATTGGGAAAAATTTACAGTTTATACTTAACATTCAGATTATGACCAAAGGGTGATGCAAGGTCATTTACTGATTTTTGAAAATAAAGGTTCACTAAGAAAAAGATACAATTTCTGTCCTGGTCATATCTTGTAATTTTGTCAGGTCATACTTGACACAGAATTTGCTTATGGCTCAATGATGTATCCTAACCTGGAAGGAAATTTAAGTATTTATTTTGAGTCTGGACTGTCAGTTTGCAGAAAGGGGTGCCTCAGAATGTGTGTGTGTCAAAATGAAGAATTAAGGACCCTCTCTACACAAGTTCAAATTGTTTTTTGGACATTGAGAAAAATATATTGTATAAAGGAGTTAATATTCAGCTCATTTATTTAATTTTCACTATATGGTGCTTGGCATTTACCCCCGGGAAAAATGTTCAAAGACAACACAGTATCAGTGAATAGATATCACTTTTAATTACTTCAGTAGAGAAAATACATGTAAATAACACTTTCAGTTAATTTATCTTGGCCTTTGAAAATGTTAAGGATACTTGAATTAATTACAAATTGAGTAATATATTGTAAAGAATGGGTGGACTTAACTGGCCAGAAAAAATGCCGTAAATTTAAGTTTCATAAAATGTTTATTTTTTTCCATCATATAAACCCCCGATATCTTAACTGTGTATTCATGGTACGGATGTGAATTTAAAACACTCTTTTCGAGGTAAACTAAATAAATATCGAAAGCATGGTGCCTGAAGATTTCTTGAATATCAATAGATAATCAGGGTCACGCGTTTTTCATCGTCTGAATACATAGTCAGCACATGTTTGTCGACTGTTCTTGAGAAAACTGTAGTTGTATATTGAACAAAATAATGTTATATTAAAAGGAGAAGAGCCGACAAAAGTGTGCTCATACTTAATTTAACAAAAAACATGTTCAAAACAAACTTCTCGCTTCCATTGAAATGTCTTCGATTGACCTGTTAAATATTACAATTCGTCACGTGATGTCCACCTGCGAGTATACTCGTGAAAACAGTTACATTGTATTCTTCAACCTGACCTCGATCTAAATCATGTCTTTGAGCGTGTTTTGTTGCCGTTTTCAGAGTTTAGCAAATTAAATATTGTTTTAATTTTGCGTGTCATCACATTTTTAAAATAATTTCATATTGACATCGCTGTAAAATGCTAAACACGTATTCGAATTTTTGGAAAGAGAGAGGGATAGAGAGAGAGAGATGTCAACAATGACGCCAATCGATAGCCCCGCCTCCTATAAATATTGATTGTGTGACATAAAAACCACTCCGGGTACATGTCGAATTCCGGAAGACGACACTCAAGTATCTTTGCTTCAATTTCGATACATGACAACAGAGCATTGTTTTTGCACAAATGTTCCACCTAATATAACCAAGTATATGTTGCTCTTTCAATTGCACATAATTTATTTTGGATTCACATCATTTACAGATTGTAAGAGGAGTCGCAAAAAGATCCAAAATAGGGCGTTAAGTCCACCCATTCTTTCTATTTTTTAGAATTTATATCTAAGGGCAGATCACTCTAACTGCAGAAAAATACCTTAAAATCAGAACTCTTTAGTGTGCAGTGTAGAGAGGGTTCTTAACCAATGTCGTAATAATATATTTTGAAAGTACATGAACAGTGTTTATTTTTTTGTTGCATTCAATAACGACCTAATATCTGTTTAATGTGTATCTGTTCATGTTAGGTACAGGGAAGACCCTGCTTGCCAAAGCAATAGCCACAGAGTGTAATACAACATTCTTCAATATATCAGCCTCCAGTATAGTCAGTAAGTGGAGGGGCGACTCCGAAAAACTAGTCAGGGTAAGGTCCATTGTCAGTTCTGATAAAAACTTTGTGTGTTTGTCCATTCATCAGCTGTTTTACTTCAATCTATACCATTTTATGATGGAAAAAGTATCATGATCAGTACATGTTTCATACTAATAGTAAAAAAAGACCTTTAAAAGTTTGTGCTTAAGGGTACTTACCACAAACAAAAAATGGATGCGCGGGTTGATATATATATTTTTTGACTGATTTTGATTTGTACTGATATAAATAATAAATCCCTGAAATATAAAGAAATCGTAAGTTTTCCTTGGTGCTTAGATTTGAGATTTTATTTTGCCTTCTATATAATTCCATATAAAATTTTGCACAATTTTTTAACATTATTACAAAATCATATAAAATTCTCCCACTTTACTTGGTAAACATTATTCAGGTTGTCAATTTAAATGTAAA